CTTTTGCTAACATGTCTGCCATATTGACTTGATGTGCTGATCATATGTCCCTGAGTGGCCAAAAACAGAAGCAGAATAACATAGAAAGCCTTTGTTGTCTTTGCATTGTGCAAAAAACAATGAAATGAAGAAAGCTTCTCCTAATTTGTGCATTCAGACACACAACCAGACCAGAAAAAGCAACCTCAAAGACACACAAAATATATATATAAATAAACTAAAGCAATGATTAATAAACACTACAGGTAGCAGTTGTGTTGGTATAAATGTAGATTATTAGATTATAACTGAATTAGAAATAGATACAATTTTTGTCCAAGTTTGAATGAAAATTATTGCACAAGAACTCGATAAATGCAAAATTAATAAACTACAAAACAAATCATCTTAGTTGTAGTTTATAGTACATTAAGCCAAACTAAAGGCCCTGCTGGTGGTCTGCAAATACATTTATGATGTGGTGCGTTCCTCCTCTACTCTAAAAGGGAAGTCACTGTCTGCACTATAATTCAGTCCAGTTCATTCTTACAGTGTATGTATGTGCACTCACTGTGCATCGCCGTATGTTATCTATCAACACAGAAATTCCAGAAGAATAATCAGTTTAAGTGCTACAGCAGGTGGGAGGACCTCTTGCAGCTACTAAGTGATAGATTTTTTCTTTTTTTTTTCTGATAAGAAACCATTACATTAGCAAGACATGAGCTCCTATATGTAAGGTAAGTGCAGGGAGCAGCCCATTTACTGCCACGGTGAAGCTTAACATGAGAACTAAATTCAAGGGTGGCCAAGATCCATGCAGGCCATCTGCCAAGAATCCAATACAGCAAATGGTTGGATCCGTGTAAGCCCTAAGCTGAAAATAAAGTCACTGTGCTTAAAAAGATGCTAACATCCTTTAATGGGTATGAAAGCCGCTGCAGGAGAATACAAATCCTGGCTGTTTTTCTCGTGTTCCCTGCAGCCCAGACTTTTATCCGCTTCCATCCAGCATGCCCTGTGAAGTTGATTAATTGAACACTTTGGGACAAAAGGGAAACTTTTATCAACTTTGGCCGTGACTAACCCACTGTGTGGACGAAGAGGAAATTAAAAAAAGCTGCTCTGCTTTATCTCCTGATCACAAGACGAGGCAATGAAGTGTTTGCCAAGAAATAAAGGTATCAAAAATTAACATAGATAAGGATGAAGAGTCTCGTGCTGGCGCTGTTTGCCACCTGCTTTGGGACAGACAAGAAGGGAGCGTGGGGTAAATGTGGGGTCACGGCTGTCAGCAGTCTCTCAGTTATACAGGCCAAGAGGGATTGCAGATATGAGGAGGGCAGAAACTGCAGCGCTGACATGATGAGGGACACGAGGGTTACACAGGCACTACCACTATCTTCATTCAACACTGCACGGCTTATAAACTCTGAGTGACGAGCTCTCCGTGTGTGTTTGTTTGTGTCAACATTCTTTTAAGCAGTATTCTCTCAGGCCTTGTCTTATGTGATGCTCCCACAGTGGAAGCCTGTCCACGACCTCTATAAAAAAAAGAGGGATGCCCACTTCCTTCTACCCTCAGGCATGCCAGTTCTGTCTCAAGGGAGAGGGGCCCCATAATTTATTATTTGTTCCCCTCTTGTTAAGGAAATACTTTCTCAATAGCTCTTTCTCCTTTGTATATTTTTACTGTTCTTATTTTCTTCCTTGATCCAACCCCGTCCTCTCTTATTTATTTGCTTTCTAAACACCAGCTTGGTTCGCTACGTTCAAGCTGCCACGAAGAGACTTAAAAAAATTAGTTTTGTCCTCGATGTGGACAGTGTTTATTTGTCTGAGTGAACCTGAAGGGATACGAGTATTTTGGGAATACCTATGTGTAGGTGACAGCTGAGCTGAGTCATACAAGCTGACCTCGGTTAGCATTACCTCAGGCGTTAATCAGATTCTTCTGCTGCAGATTGAAGATATGTCGACTGATACAACGAGCTCAGATGTCATAATTTATCAGCCAGGCCCTGCCACTCTTAATGTAAAGACATTCCTGCGCCATGTGAACTTAATGAGATGCTATGTACACAGCACATGTTGTGTGAAATGGTCTCTTTCAGCAAAAGCACCCAGGAACATTCAATCTTAGTGAGCAAATCCTTGTTTAATCACAGCAGAGGCTTCTTTGTTTGTTGGTGTTGCTGCTTTCTCAACCCCCATCCACAGAAACCAGCAGGGAAAAAAAAAGAAAAAGAAAAAGAAAAGGCCAGTAAAAAGGCCACGCCGCTGCCTGACCACTGATCCATGACTCAGCTTTGAAAGTCTCCGCCTTCAAATCAAATTGTCCGGCTTCAAGGAGGAGAGGTGCCGCAGTCCTGCCCCGGGCCACTCAGTGTCACCGGCCAGCTTTGAGGGGTTAACGCGCATTTTTCTCAGTTGTCAAGGACGTGTGATGGGGGCAAAAGAATACAGAGGAGCTCAGAGGTCACCGCACTCCAAATATCAAGAGTCTTTGAAATACTTAATTGTGTTATAAAAGAAGCTGAAAATGCCAACTCCAAATCCAAACACAACATTTAACATCTTAGCTTTTGCTTTTATTAAAGCACGTCTGCTCCTTGACACCGTCTCAGCAGGTTTACTGATCTGCCCGTGGATGACAGCCTGTTTATTTATTCTGTGCTGCTATTTTATAGGAATCAGGTTGCCATTAGCTGTGCTTCTTCTTACCCAGAGAGCTGTGCATGTTAATGTCCGTTGATTTACTCTTTTGGTGCAGGCTGAATTATCTCAAAAATTATTCAGCTTATTGTCGTTAACTTTAGTGCAGCAGCAGGATGAATTCTACCGACTGTGGTTGTCTCCTGGTTTTCCTTGTAACTATACTACAAGAGTTGAGTGAAATGACTGGTAACCATGAAAACATTCATCATTTATTTACAAGCTAAAAAAGCACCACCACATGGCAAAATGTTTGTCTGTTTCAGTTAATGTTCACATGTGCACATGTTAAACTGTGATGATTAAAGTCAGCTAGTGCCATCCCCGGCAGGAACACTGGGCAGTTACACATTACTTAGTGCTCTGTTGCAGTAATGATATTACTTTCTACAGTGATGAGCAGTGTAAATGATTACAGTTTAAAATCCATTCCCATAGCTGCCTGTTACTTGATATGTTGGCAGTTTGCTTGCTATCTTTAGACGGTTGGTGGCTGTCTACATGTTAGCCTGGTGCAGACAGGACTTCAGGGCGAAGAGCTAATTCTAAAGTTATCTTATATAAATGTTGTGCATTCTTAGCAGGCTTGCTAACATAAGCCACAAGCACCCAAGCATTCAGGAATCTGTGTGTAGTCGTTTAGGATAAGCTAGCTGCTGCTGGAAGATCAATAAATCCAAAATTCTTATAGGCAAGTGTCACCATTCAGCAGCCACCTTAT